CTCCACTGTTCAACCTGCAATCCACACCGCCTATCTCTATATCTCAGTTCAGTCATTCCACATACTAACTAAAACCTGGATTTCTCAACCTAAAACCAAAATTTCGAAATCACGCCGCACCTATACAAGAACTCAACTTTTACCGTACCTCCTATCTCCATCTTCCTTCCTCCCGTAGCTCGCACTGTTCCGGTCCTCCTTCCTGTTCACTCACTTTCCTCTTTCCTCTCCAATCCAGTTCCTCTATTTCTCTCTCTCTCTCGAACCTTCTCTTCCCGCCCCCGATCTCTCTCTTCTATGTTTTCTTTCTTTTCTTCTCTTTTCTTTCTTTTCTTCTCTTTTCTTTCTTTTCTTTCCTTTTTTCTTTTTTTTTTTATTTTCCCTTCTCCTATTTATACCCCACCAGCCTCTCATCCTGCCCATCAATCTCACCTCATCCCAACCGTCCATTTCTCCCTTCTCCAAATGACGTCGTTCCTTCCTCCACTTCTCTAAACAATGTCGTTTCCCTCAAATGACGTCGTTTTCCACCCCCTCTCCTCCAAACGACGTCACTTCCTTCCCCTCTTCACCAAACGACGCCGTTTCACCCCTGAAATTCCCACCCTACCTATACATCCATACATACATACAATTTTTTTTTTCTTTTTAATTTTCTTTCTTTCCAGTTATTACAAAACTATAACGTTATTATTTCGCTTTTGCATAATATAAAAAATTTATTATCAGTAACTTTAATTAATTGTTAAATAATTTATTCACATAAATAACTGTCAAATAAAAATTAATTATAATTTTTATGTTATTTAAACTTATATCTTAATTTAATATTAGGCTTTGAAAATAATATTATTTTTAGTACGAGGAGAGATATTTTTAATTTTTAAGTTCTATTTAAATTAGAGATTGATAAAACATAAATAATAAATTTTTTTTGCAACATGGAGATTGACAGATTAAAAAAAAGAACCATCAATTAGGAAACACCATTGCAATAGAGCATCAAATGTCTGTAATGAAATTTAGCATATATCACAAGATAATAGAGTAGAAAGAAAATGATAAATTATTTAATTAATTTTAAATATTTTTTTATTATAATTGAATTTTTAATATTTTGATTTATTTTAAATATCTATTTTATAATTTTTAATAAAAAAATTAAAATTATAGCATCATGTTTGATTTTTTTTAATATTAAAACTAATTTAAATAATTAATTAAATTAATAAAAATATTATTGCAATTTTTTATATTAAATTATTAATCTAATTAATTAATTAAAATTATTTTTCAGATATATTTATCAAGTGGTTCAAATATAATATATTTTTTTGTTAAAAAAATGACAATATATCTGAAACTAAGAAAATTGAAAAAAAAAAAAACTAAAAAAATATTAAAGCTAAATTATAAAAATGCTAAGAGAATTGATTTAATAATTTACAAAAAATAAAAATAATAAAAAGCTCTCAAAACTGTCACCACCAACGGGTGCGGAGAAAATCTGAGAGTTCAGTTCATAAATAGTCTCTACAGAGGGAACGTTACTCTTGGTTCCCTCCTCCTCGTTTTCTTTGTCAATATCTCATAATAAAAGGACGAAACCCCTATTCTCCTCCTCCATCATCAATTATCTCTTTCATTCTTCTCTCTCGTTTGACGCTCGACAGTGACGTCGCCGTGAAGAAGCGGAGCAGACTAGGTTCAGGTATGCTTTTGAACTCTGATCGAACCGGAAAGTTCAATTATGTTTCGTTGCTTAGAAAATGTGGTAAATTGAATTGAAGTTCCTGATTGGACTATTATTGTTTTAATTGGGTGATTTCAGTGTAGTGCTTCTACTTGTTTTTACCGCAGGTGAGTTGTGAACCCAGACTTGAACTATCGGTATCATTTTCGATTGGCGCTACTCTCCTATTTCGTTCTTTACGGGGTACGAAAGAGAAGGGTTCATCTATTGTTTACTTCCTTATCAGAAGATAGCTATAGAGTATGAAGTTGGTTTAGTTGTTAATGGTGCATTAGTTTTCGTTGTTCCGGATGATTTCGTTTTCCTGGTTGTGGATGTTTCGCGAGAAACAGCTTCATGTTAGTTGCTTCCAATTTCGGTGATTGTTTCTTAGCTCACTTGCTAAACATACCTGGGAGCCGAACTTTTGATCGGGAAATTCTTATTTAAGTTGTGAACATGTTGAGCGAGTTCTTCTTCCCCCGCCCATTTTTCAAAAGTAAAAAAATCTAGGGCCTAATATGCTGATAATCTGATTTAACATTTGATTTACTTGTAGTTGTAACGAGGCAAGTGAAACTTTTGCAGCATTAGTTAGTGGAGAAGTATACCGGTGTTAAGATTTTTTCCATTAGTCGGGCGGTATACCCTTCTCCTGTTAATAGAATTTGCATAAAATACTATTTAAGTGCAGGATCTAGTTAAACCTTGGTTGAAAGGTAATTTCTTCTTCTTCATTTCTCCACGTTCTTGCTTTCTGTCAGAAGGTGGAAGGTGCATCTTTTAAAGTGGATCAAATTGGATCCTTTGGAATGGTTTATCACCAATAGAGATGGGAGTTAGATAACTGTTGGCTTTTGGGAAGGTTTATGATGAGCAGCACCAGTAGTCATCTGGTCATTTCTTCAATCCAGGCATGGTCTCCCTTGGCCATATAATTGTTTTTTCCTTCCCAACTGTTTTCTGTTAAATAGGACATGTTTAATTACCAACTGATTCAAGGGATTTTTGTGTACTCTTCTGGGGTATCTTTTGAAATGGATCAAATTGGATCCTTTTGAATGGTTTACACTAATAGGGATGGAGTTAGATAGCTGTTGTCTTCTGGGAATGTTTACGATGAACATAACTAATCTGGTCATTTCTTCAATCCAGGCACCTCCTCCCTTGGCCATCTAATTACTTTTTCCTTCCAAACTGTTTTCTGTTAAATAGTACACATGTTATATACAAAATTTCTGGATGCAAGTTTTTTCAGTTGAAATCTACTGCTTGGGTTGTTGGGGATTGTGAGATTCTTGTTAGCTTAACATCACAGTTCTTAATGAAGAAAACATGATTGACCTCATAGCATTAGACCATTGCTTATTCTTTGTTTCTTAAAACCTTATGTGAGCCAACACCATAAACAAAAAGCTGAAAGACATCCAATTCAGATATGGTTAGGCAGTGGTATATCTTACTTTTTCTTCAGTTATTTGTTTTTACGATACCCCTCTAGGGTTAGATTTTCAATTGACTTATTTTGTGCTATATGTATTGGTAAATAATCAATTTTTTCCCATAATGAACTTCATAATCCAATCTAATTTGTAGGATGTTGCTGTCATCTCGAAATCCCCTGGGTTCAAATACCAGTTAATAGATGTATAAATTAGAGAGAGATTTATTTTTATTTAGCAAAGAGTTGATGGAGCCCTTTTTTTTCCGAAAGACAGATGTTTTTGCGATTCTTTTATCTGTAAGGGTGCTGAATACCATGCAAGCCATTAACTGTGCATGCAGATGTCTTGGATTGGAGTGGGAATTTGTGACATCTGTCGGCTTGAATTGGAGATCCATAAGATCTGTTGGCTTGGGGTGGGGCCTTATAACCTCTTTGCCTTGAGGTGGGGCCTTGTCGATTCTACTGCATTTGGTTAAACATTTATGATGGAGATCAAGGAAAAATAATGGCTGAATTTTTAATAGCAAGAATCTTGTTTTCCGTCGCATCCAATAGGAGAATAGAATGTGATTGTCTATGCTTTGTCTCCTTTCACACTTAAATGCCTAACTTCTTCTTGTGGAGCATGAATTATTAATTAAGTATTCACGATTCTTAAATTTTTTAAAAGAAAGTTGGATGCCTAAGTTGAATATCAACCCTTATGAGAAAGGCAGGACTCAAAATCTTTTACAGTATTAACTCTCTTACAATATATTTTTCTTTCTTTAAGAATTTCCTTTATGTTAAGTGGGTCCGGAGGCTTCCAACTTTATTTGGCTTCTCTCCTTTTTAATAACAATTGGTTTTGTATTGTTCTAACTTCTAAGCACCCAATATTTGATATTTTCATTATTGACTGCAGAAGTTGATCTTTTTATGGAGAGTTCTGATGATGAGAGAGATGGAGCTTATGGAAGCTATATACCAAAGGAACTGGCTCATAATGTAGCATCTAATGGTACAAAATTCGTAGATGAAGTGCTTAATGGTCAAAATGAACGTTGTTTTGAAAATTTTCGCATGGACAAGCCAGTATTTTACAAGTTGTGTGATCTTCTACAAGGCAAAGGCTTGCTACGTCATACAAATCGAATCAAAATTGAGGAGCAAATAGCCATATTCTTGTTCATAATTGGTCATAACCTGCGGACTCGAGCTGTCCAAGAGTTGTTTAAATATTCGGGAGAAACAATTAGTCGCCACTTCAACAATGTATTAAATGCAATTGTGGCGATTTCCTTAGACTTCTTCCAGCCACCGGGACCTGAGATTCCGCCAGAAATCTTAGAAGATCCTCGATTTTTTCCATACTTTAGGGT